TGACTTGTCAAACCAGTGCTACTAGTAAAGCAACTGATCAAAGCTAGAGAAATTATATGGAAGCCGGCGAGTGTCAGTGCGTAGTTTTATTTTACGTCGTAATAACGACATAGGAACTTGTTATAACAACTTAGCTAACTCGTTACAACAACTTAGCTAAATCGTTATAACGACTTAGCTAAGTCGCGCATTTTATATTCGGGGGAGGGGGGTAATTTGATAATGAATGCCCTGGCCTTATAGCAAGAACTGAAAATAAATATATATAACCTTGCCCAAAGTAGAATGAAATTGAATATTTTACCAAACAAAATGCAGAATATTTATTGCTTATCACAGTGCCCAAATCTGAGCTGGATGATTACATTAAATTTAGATATGATTGCAATAATTACAATGGTTCTTATATAATAAAAGCAAAAAAGAAATTTGTAAATAAGCAAAATAAATATAAACCTATTCAATTTTAACCAGCAATAAAATCTAACTGGTGCATAAATGTATACAATTAGTACACTGCTTCTTTTGCATAGGTACTTTTTCTGTGCTAAAAATATGTAGTACTGGAAATTTACTTTTAATATTAAGTACTATTTCTTTACTTTAAAATTCTTGTAATATTTAGGTACCTGCGGCTCTTTTCACAAAAAATCTTAAGAGTAAAAGTACTCGTAAGTCATACACATTTCAGTATAACTTACGATCAATTTTAATCGTAAGATTTTTTGTGAAAAGAGTCGCAGTATTTTACAGTACTTGATTTGTACTTGAAATTTTTGGTACAGAAGTAATACCAACAGTGATAACAATATTTCATGTTTGAAAATCATAACTTTAAGAGATTTGAAATAGACTAAGCAAAGATATAATAGCTATGAGATATGATAGCTATGGCTATTATATCTAGTAAAAGACGAACCTGGACACCAGCTGCAATCCTTGAATCAAGAAAGGAATCGAATCACCCAACTGTTGTATTTGCATTTATTATATCACTGCCACGAGGACCTTAATGATCTTGTGGATACGTGAGCGCTGCAAGGCGATATATTTTGATTATATCCCTGGACATCGAGATTAAAATTGATATTTGCTGCTTCACCGCCAAGCATGTGGTATAAAGGTTATAAGTCTTAATAACGAGTCTTGGTTGTTGACATTTTTCCTAGCATGCTAAAATCTGGCACAGCTTGTATATAAAAGAGGCGGAAGACACCAGAGGGAAAGTCTAACTCATTAGTCGAAAATGAACAAATAATGTCATGGAAAAAACGAAAAACGACCAAAAAGACAAACAAACAGTCTACAGAGTACAATATAGAAAACTTTAAACTGAGCAACACGAACCCCACCAAAAACTGGAGGTGATCCCAAGTGCTCTGGAAGGGCTGTAGCATAATATATGGACTAAGTTAACTATACATACAGAAGGGTAAGCAGATCCTGCTCCACATGTGGCACCCGTCGAGTTGTTCATGCAAGTACAAACCCGGTGATAAGTCTTAATTAGGTAGGTCTATTATTGAGAAAAACGTGTATAATCATATCACATTTAATAGTAATTTTTGTCGCTGGATGGATGGATGGATGCCTGTTTAACTTCCAATGGTAAATTAAATGCATATTTAGGAAGAGAACATGATAATGTGCTATATGTTAGTATAAACATTGATTTGTACTAGACCGACACGCTGAACCGGATTTTTAACGTGCTGGTCCAGAAGATAATAGTCAGCACAAGCCCGGACACATAAGTCTGACTCCGAGTCGACAAGGCTTTGCTTCTACTCATAAAAGCCGAGTGCTTAGCAGAGAAGCAGTAAATACCAGTTTTCAAGTCCTTGTTTTGAATCGGTCGGGGTTGGAACCCCGAACTCCCGTACTCGAGGCGAACACGCTACCACGACACCACCAATGCGGTTTGTGTCGCTGGACATCATGCGTTTACTCTTCCATCAATAAGTTATTTGTCTTATGATAATGATTAACAGATTGAACAACTGTTGTGTGAATCAAGATGTTTGTCTTCAAACACCTTGTTTATCAGTGAGTAGAACTATTCTTTCAAAGTACTTGTTGTACTGAAATGAAAATCATACTTCTTATATGCTAATGTCAGCTGCCGATCATGCAAGCAGAAACGCAATGAACAGTGCAGTAAAACGAGGATTTGTATAATGTATCATTGTCATCATTCCCCTGTATTTTTTTTACTAGTACATGTACTCACATTTAATCACTAGATTGAATATTATTTGAGTAAAAAAATAAATTAAAGGTATTCTTCAACACTTGTACAAATATCCATCAAAATGGAATGCATATCACACATTGCTTTTGAAAAAAGTAAACAATGGATTCTATGAGTTTATTTTCTATATTTTGCATAAAAGGACATAGTTTGGTTATAATTGATTTGTAATGTCCTTTCTTTTTCTTAAGTTAAATTTCAAAATTTCCTTGAAATTGTAAATAGAGAAATTTTTGGTCAATTCGGCTTCTTACTTTTGTTATTTGTTACAAAATTATGACAAAATGATATCGGAATATCGAATAAAGTTGTACACATATTGTGAATTTAACAAAGATTTGAGGACTTGTTTTAGAATTTCCCAGAAAATGGTTATGTCCCTTTGTATAAAGAGTTATAATATAATATTCTCACACAAATTGTCAACAAGTTTTAATATTTATTATTTATCAAATATAAAATGAAGACATTGTATCGATCTTACATCGTCCTGAACATGCATGAAATATTTGCGACTGGACATTAAGCAACTAACAATCAATAAATCGTTTTTACCTGTTTTTGTAAAAAATTTCGTCAAAGGATGTCTCTAAATTAAAATGTTTTATTTTTTGTTCGAAACCCAATACATAGCTTACTTTTCACCGACTATTGTTTTGGTTAATGATGTCCTTATACAGTTTTGGTAAAAATAGAATCAAGTTTGCCAAGATTTGTCAAAATTTTTGTATTGGACATCTTTAGGATAATACAAGTAAATAACTTGGTAAAACGCAAGAAAATGATGTAAAACATTAAAGTACATTTTAATCTATGATACTGTAAAAGAAAAGATTGAAGGACTTTCCGAAAATAGCCCTGGTGTGAAATTCATTTGAAGGGAAATTGGACAAAATAGAAGACAAATAGCCGTTGATGCAAACGGAAATTCAGATAAAGTTCAACATGCAATTGGAATCACACTCAAATTTAAGCTTGAACAATATGAATTCTAGTCTTACAACAGGGAGTGTACACACATACGGCAATTAAACATTCCTCACAGACAATACATTTTTGAGGCTTAACATTGTAAAAACCTATTTTAAAACAATGGTGTGTCAGTAAGGTATTTAAAATATTTTAGAAGCTTATTTTAAGTAAACCGTTAAAAACAATGTTAGCAATTCAAAACAAGGTACTTATCGGTAATCAATTCACAGAATGTTGAAAACAAGTGCACTTTATTATACGTTAGGCGAAAAGTATACAGTTCACGTTTTGTCTTTGCTTTCAGGAACTATGAAATATTTCACATGATGAACATTTTAACTTTAAAAATGCAAATCCAATTTAAACAGTTAAAAAGTATTGCTGTTTAATAAAGAGTCACAAATGCCTTGGTAGCGCTTTTTGAAATAGGTTCTTCCGAAACTGATTGAGGCCAAAATAGTTGATATATATTCCGATTTTCTTACTTTTCATCCAGGATGGAAATTTCTGGAGCTTTTGAACCCTTCTGGATCACCTGCGTTCATTCCTTTTCGTAATTTATCATCTCAAGTTATAAATAGTGTTTTTATTGACTGATTTTTGTCCTTTTTCCATGTTGTCTTTGACTTTAGATTTTTTTATAGCCATCTTGGAATATTCTTAGCATTTTGCGGCAATGGTGCAAATATTGGTTTTTAGTAGCAATATTTTGTGTTGATTGTTTGACACAAATACTTGGGCATACACGCGCTGCGGAGGTTCACTATATAAATAAGACATAGCTGAGAGGGTGATAGAGCAGATTGTTTCCCCGAAAAAACATTGTCAACTGAGGCGAATTTGTTTAAGGAATGTTTATGTGAAGTAAAGGGGACAGGGATGGCAATGATGATGGATTGCTGTTTAACGTCCAGTGGCAAATTAAATGTATATTCAGGACGATAACATGTTAATGTGATATGAATATTTCCCCTGCTTTGTACTAGACCTACACGCTGAGCCGGAGTTTAAACGTGCTAATTCACAAGGTAATAGTTACAGTCAGTAGGAAGACATGTCACCCTATCCTGACACATTATTCTGACTCTGAGCTTTGCTCTTACACCTTTATACCATGTGATTAGCGTAGAAGCCTAGAAGCAGCAAATACCGACGACCATCCGCACTCGACGCGAACACGCATCCACGAGACCACGGATCAAGGCGGTAAAGGGAACAGGGAAAACATGACTGGGGAATACTTGACCAATATATATGTTAAAGAATAGGTATACCAGTCTTAAGTATTGAAGGCAAAAATGTATACATTGATCAGGGAACTAAATTTTAAAAGAAACCTTTGAGAATTACAAAACATGGTAACAACTATTTAAGGGGAGATATGCTACAAGGCAAAATTAATGTCCCTATTCGACATTCCGTCTTATTCAATGACAGTCAGTCCTAAATCCCAGTTGTCCAACTTTCAGTACCATTTTATTTGTTTTATTGTTTGATTTGTTAATGTCCAGACTTAGAATGAAATATTTGCCACTGGACATAAAACAAAAAGCCACAAACAATCATTTTTCCAAGTTGTTTACGATAAATTGTACCACGACACGTCACAATCCCCAACCAACACCAGCTTCTTACATTGTATGTAAAGATTCATAAAAATTACCATGAATAATCAGCACGCTGGAGAGTTGTATTGCTTTGAAAAAAACTTTTGAAAATAAATCCTCAACCGCAGTAAAACCTCTGACGTTATGAACAATTTTAACAGCGATCTTTCACTCCTTGTTTTATTTTTTAAATGATACGAAATCTGCAGTTTTACAATGTAACACAGTTAATGATACCTTGTATGGACTAGTATGAAACGAACTATACAACTGCTACATATATATGCTTGGGGAAAACATTGCACTCATGGAAATGATGATACTTCTGTTTATAAATACAATGAATGATTTATTTCTTTCCATAAAATCACAGGCAAACACAAATGTTTGAATAATTGAAATTAATTGTTATTGCAAATATTTATAAGCACCGACGCTAAACATTAAAATCTCAGCGAAAGCTTCGGAATTCTTTCGGGCCGTTTGGAGTCATACATAATTTGCGTTGGTCCTCTTGTTTGACGTAGTCACCAATATGTTCACTGTGTGGTCTTTTCTGTCTGGAACGAGAAGAAAGTGTACTTCTCCTCAGTCTCGTAATGATGTGCGATAGTTCACGTTTGCTAACAAGCTTCCACATATTCTGGTATGGTTTGCTTAGTTCTGGAAAGTGATGGTCCATATAAGGTTGTTTGAAATATGATGACATAGTTCCATAATGGTGTGAAATATATGGACTTGGAGCAGGACTTTCGTAGAAAGATAAGTGATCATGATCCGGTGAAACATAATTCAAACTTTCATCAGACCAAACTCTGTAAAAAATAAGAAAAATATATTAATTACAGTAAACATGATATTATGTATATAATAAGCCATGAAGTTTTTTTAATACATATACAATCCCAATTATTCTTTTTTCCAAAGTTTGCGCATGCTAGGTGCTAGTTTTTTGTGTGTTTTTTTTTTTTTTTTTGGGGGGGGGGGGGTTATGGAGGAGGGTGCTGTCAGGTTTGTATAGATGCATTATTATTTTTTTTGTATTATATGTTTAATTGTTTAGGTTGTGTTTTTGTTTCTTTTCGTCTTTTTACTCCTTGTGTTAATAATTTTGAATCCTGTACTGTTATATGAATCCATTTTAATTGTGATAAGGTTAAAGATCGACAACTATTTTTGTTTTAATCACTTTAAAATATTGCCTTATCTTCAACTGCCATTAGCCTTTTTGTCTTATGATGATTATTCTAGCTAAATGATAACTCGAATAATTCAAGCCCTTTTATTACCGTCTCCGATTCTCTCTGCCTTTCGAGGTTAATGTAGTGATTGATAGTGAGCGTAATATAACGACTGTATTATTCGGGTTAGCTTAATAACTGATTGTATGAACAGCCCACCGGAATAGTATGCACGATAAAAAATTGTCTTTTCAAACTAACACGATGAAAAAGACAAGGACACACATTACAACATTAAATCTAAACATCAAATTCATATATGAATTTAAAAATAAACAAAATAAAATAACAAACTTACATTTCTAAAAGTTCAGAGGACGTCATATTTATAGTCAACTTTTCGTACACTTCAAATCTATTTACTTGCGTTTAGATATATGAACTACACTTAAGAACAATGTTCCGTAAAACTAATCATAAATCGTCTAAAATTTCGCTTGAAATACATTTTCAAATAATAAACATTCGATATCAACTTCAATTGTATTCACGACTGATAAAGTTACTTCAATGCCTAAATGGTTTTTAGTTTAACAATGACTTAACCGGATAGGTTCTTTCATGAGAATTAACCTTTCCTTTCAGCAAGGCTAAATTATTTACGGTTTTTCTATTACTTAACTTATTAATCTGATCAAATGCAATATAAATATGAAATTTATATCCCCGTGTATTTAATATTTCATTAAACATTTATGAAAGGTAATACGATGTTTATATGTACTATAGTACTAATGTTGATATATAAAGTTACTGTGCCATCTACTGTATCGCCTACGGAAAATAGAATTACAAGACTGTGAAATTAAACTTACAATAAGCAACGATCATAATAATATACTTAAAAATAACATTAAAAGAAAATTACATTAATTTGATCAGAAATGTTATTTTCTTGTGAAATCAATAAGTATAGTTCTGTATGCCTCAACCATGACTGAGGTAAAGAATTGGGGCAATTGACTTCTTTCGTCCAGCAGGTTGACCTGTGCAGGAGAATGATGTTTGGTTGGTTGCATGGGATATACAAAAACATTGCGGCCATGTCCAGCCGGACGGATTGCGCTAATAGTGTGAAATGATAGTATGAAATGGAAATAACACCTTATACAATTGATGCGTTTGAATCTCTTTTCTGGATTGACCTTCTTCATGAATGCTCGAACAAAAACAATTTAGACCCAGGGATGAATAAGTAGTTAAATGTACTAGGAGCTAAATGACCAAAAGACACCTTAAAAGAATAGCCAAACCCATCTAATATCAAATTTGCCAGAGAGAATCGGAACCTAGGTCTTTTTTAATGATTTCAATGTTATAAATCATATCAGTACCGAACCACCGACTACTGAGCTGATGATATCCCCTAGCACGAAAGGTACCACTGCAATTTGAATAAAAGGATAGATGCGATAATGTTATTCGGACAGCAACATATCGACACAAAAACCAAAAGACATTTTAAAATTTCAAAATACGGTTATAAGCATTAGAAAAGTGTTTATGCATTGTCAATATGTCTCGCTTTATACATTTGTAGCTTTGAAATAAGAAAAGACAAGCAATGTTTCTTAAAAGCCATGTACAAACAACATCAGACATCAACTTATAAACTCCTTAAATGGTCTGTCATTGACCTGTTGAAATTTCTACCCATTCCCAAAATCTGTTTCATAAAGATTCATTTTTAATTTCCCGCTTTTAATATGCAAGTAGACTTTGTATAACCTACATAAACAATGACATATTATTCATTTACGGACATTTTTTTTTATAAAATGTGAAATTATATTACCTACTTCTTCCTTTAGAAATGTTTTATTTTTGAAAAGCACAAGTGGTATAGATTGTATACTATATTCATATAACACTTGCACTAACAGAGAGTACATTTTATATGGGACTACATATGTTCGACAAAAATTTAACCCATACCTTCCCGTAGATATATCGAAATAAGTGTTAATGACACACTTATGTTTGATGAAAGACATAAATATATTTGGAAAATTTCATATAATAAATTTAAGAAACTGGTAACCCTATTTTGAAGTATTTAAGACACTTGGCGTCTTTGAAGTCACTCCCCATACACCATAACTGCGATAAAAATGTTAACATTAAACAATAAGAAGGTTGTGAAAATTTAAATAAATACTTACGTGTACATGCCAAATGTTTGTTATGTCAAGTGTAAATTAAAGAAACTACAAATCCCACATATCTTTTTTTCATATTATGATTGATTGTTCCTTGCTTAGCGTTCAGTGACACAAATTTAATGCTTATTCAGGATGAAAAAACAAATTATCAATTAATGCAATATGTAGGCGTATTTTCTGACTGCAACTGGAAAATGTGATCATGTTGAACAGGGATGAAATGTGCTTTCAAACGGGCACCTAATTACCCCTCAAAGAATTGCTACAAACGCGGTTTTTATAACGTGCAGAGAGCGTGGCACTCTAAATACATTTGTATGCGTACACATCCTGCAAAACCAGACAGCCTACCCTAATACAGGGATTTGTACACCTCAATCGGAAAGCTGGGACCACCGGGATACCCTCGGAGTTGGTTAACTCCTAAGTGTTATGTTGTATTGTATTTACATCTGTAGTCTTTTTCGTTTCTATGTACAGAGGTATGGCCATATTCCCTTGTGATTCATCATTAATATTCAAGTTCTTCTCCACTTAAAATCATGCAAAAGGGGGTTCGTGGGTAGCTATAGTGAGCCAACATTTAATTATTTTTGATATTTTTTTTAGAATGCAAAGATATATGTATATCTACAGATTATATAAATATTTTCAGTTTCAAATATATGTACATTGCAAAAAAGAACAAACATTGTACAATTATAGCCTTTGTATCAGGTCGATACGAGGTTATATCAAACAAGAGAAGCATATTGACTGAGGATGAAGTCCGAGGTCAATATTCTTCTTTAGGTCGATATATTATCGTATTGACCTCACCCAAGGGCTACAATTGTAATATTATTAATCAAAAACTATTGCATGAACAATGTCATATTGGGGGATTTCTAGAATGTATTTTTAGTAACAAGCTATATGCCCTGTGCAATATGCTGTGTTTGACCTACGAAACGCTAAACACAATATTATTGGCTTGCAAACTGAGTAAATACAAATGTACATGTGATTAAGTTTTAACGAACTCAAATCCTTAAAAATATTCGATTAATAATATGATTTTGTATAGATTTGCTTAACCACAAATTCTTAAGTTGAAGCCATAATGATTCTTCTTTTCGTAATTTGAACGAAAGACAAATTGATTGAGTCATGTAGGTACTTCTTATAGCTAACTTTACTGTAGGGTTGCTTATGCGGCATTTGGACTTTGATGGATAGTTGTCTCATTGGCAATCATACCACATCACCTTATTTCGTACTGAATTGTTATCCGCAACACTGATGACTATGCGTGTGAAAAAAAATCTTCAATAGTTTTCTAAACTTATTAAATACATATTGAGTCTTGAGCTTTATTGATGTAGACTATCTGATAATACTAGACTAGAATGTCTTTTATTTGAACCGAAAAAAATCATATTGAGAAAGTTTTCTTTGTACAATGAATTAATGTTGTAAAATTTCAAACTATCGACACACAGGGAGTGTCTGCACAGCAGATGTTTAAATAGATTGTACACTACAACCCAGCATTACCAAGCTGCAGACTAAATATGAAAATCATTCCCTTTAATAGAAGCCAAGAAAACTTTCTACCAACGTTCTTTCCAACGGACGGAATGACGGACGAAGTGTAAAATACTGAAGGATATCTGGATATCTGTAAGTTACAATCATGTACATTGTACATGTACATGCTCTGTACATCAATAATCAAAAGAATAGAACTGGCGCGCTAGTCGAAAATTTATTTTCTGAAGCAAACGATATCAAATTATAAATGTACACATGCACAAAGTTACATTTAAAATTTACAATCCGTTACACATATATGTAAATAGGAGACACTCAAACGCAAATATAATGTGTTTAAGAGTATTACATAATATGTTTGGTTTGGTTTTTAAAAATACGCCTCTATTATTAATGTGCTACACTCTTTTCGAGCAAGCAACACATGCAGCGTTAATATAAAATAAATACAGAAATGAAAACAAACGTGGTCAGCTGACAAAATGTTTTTGGAAAATTTATAATGTCTAAAAACATTTGAACTTAAGATAAAATAAACTTAACCTGACGAAAAGATGATTTTATATCATTTTTAGTGCGCTAACAAGTTTTAAAACACATATATAATTGTAGGGATGAAGATGAATTTTATTTCACCATGACATGAACGAAACTAAAGAATTACAGAAAAGAATTGTTCCTAAACATTGTTTCTAGTCTGTAGTACCCTCTTTTTCTGATATATCTGTGTGTTAAGGAAATTAGTTCTATCTGGGACTAATGGATAATGTCAACGCATTAGTCCTAGGTTCTATACTAAGAGATAATGTCTGTCACTAAGATACATTTTGAGTGTAAACAGAGAAGATGTCTTTAAAACAAGACACTGTATATTATTAATTATTTACCTATCATGAACATAGTTAATTGCGTATTTTGAATATTGTTACATAGGTATATATTAAAGAATAAATCAAGTGTTATTTCAAAATACATAACATGGGAGATAACTCTATCAGCCTCAGTCGATGTGTAATCGTTTACAGCAGTGTTTCTGAATTTAATAATTATGTATTTGCTTTATACATGTATTTATGTTATGATTGAAGATAGACACATGTTTGCTCTTTATTTCAACCAAATAACTTACTGACTAACAAAGTACATACTGAAAGCTGATCAAAGTCATGTTTTGTTTTCTTAATCTTCATGAAAGGTTAATGAATTAATTACAATGACTTTCTGTTTATTAACATTTATATACATAGGTCAAATCGAGTCAAGCTGTATTTTTTGGAAGTCACTTTTAATTTTTAGTGCTTGTTATGATATAAAAAATCTTATAGTTTCCTTTTAAATAGTATTTGATGTCGTCGGTCGTTTTGTCATTCCACTGCGTGTATGAAGAATAGGCAAGTTAGGCGGAGCTGATTGAATTCGACGACGACCCATAACGCTGGCGGAAGTTGGTGCTGGATTTTTCGTTAACCTGACGACAATGCCATTTATTTCCTGTTTCGTTGCTAAACGCCAAGTTCCCGGATAATGCCTCTTAAGCTCTGGATATTGATGTTGCATGTAAGGTTTTTCTTTAAATTCCTCCATTCGTTGTCTACTTTGAGCTTCATATAACTTCCGTTCACGTGACCATAACACAGAACGTCTACAACTAGCAACTGTTGGCCTCCATACTGCCGATTCAACAGCTACAAAACTCATCTGACTTAAGGGTAGTCCATATACACTTTTTCTTATTTCATCTTCACTTACTACAGTCTACAATAAAAGAATTTCATTTGTTATCAGTAATTTCAGTCAGTTTTTAATTAAAAATGTACATGATAAA